TCCAATTTTTCAAACTCAACTTTTATTATGAACTTACGACCTATCTCCCTTTTACCCATTCTAAAATCCTTAAATTTACATTTCTGAAACTTTAAGATGATTCCAGTTATAACAACGTTTTTCTCTAACTCAGTTTGCGATCTTCTATTCATCTCTAGTTGCATATTGTTTAGCTCAGTGTTAAGATGCTTTATTTGTGTTTGAAGTTGATTATTCATTTCTTCCTGGTTTGTTAGTTTGCCGAATAAAAGAGCATATTTAGCATCCATTTGATTTAGTTTATTAAGTAAATCCTGCATCGTCGCACTCTGTTTTGAATTTGTTTTGTTTTGATTAGCCATAACCTCGCTTTTTAAGCACTCGCCACATAACCATCTGTCACCGTTTTCCTTCTCATTCTTAGCAGCAATTTTACTAAGTTGAGACTTAGTTACGCCAACACAATCGATGTGAAACCATTTCACACATTTATTACATTGAATACAGCAAGTTTTCCTGATCGCACGTCCCACACTTTTCCGACATTTTTGCATTTGTAAACTTTTGCTAAACTTAATATATTTATCTAATTTCTGGAAATTTAGAGCTACTGTTGCTAATTGCAGGAATAGCAATCAAGCGAAATATTCATTTCATGATTTGCTAATATTGTCCACAGCATCCTTAATATTGAATTTTTTCTAAAACTCTAAAATAAAAGATTTGCCATAACCATAATCTTTATTGTGTTACACATACAATATAATATGCTCACACTTGTCAAATTTTGCACATATTATATAGTGTCATATTACAGAAAAAAAATATAAAATAAAATAACATATAAAATTACATAAGATTACAATAGACAACATTAAGTGCCAAAGGTGGAAATGGTCTTAAGACTGTCACTCATATATTCGGAGGTCGAGTAGTACGCCCTTGTAACAAGTGTTTGTTTAATATACTCTTTAAAGCCCTTGAATGGCAATTGACGGACGTGTATGGCAATTTATTAAAAAATTTCACCGCCATCGCATTCACACTTTTCTGGCATTTTGTTAATCGTATATATTTGGGTATCAGATCGCTATTTTTCCTAGTATCATAGTTATGCACCTGCTTATACGTGTCAAACTTATTAATGTTCTTTTTAACATATGTAACACATTCGAGAATGTAGAGAGACGGTAGAGTTAATATTTGTAAATCAATATAGGAGCTTCTACAGTCGTCTCTATAATTTAAATTTCTTAATACCCGTATAGCCCTTCTCTGCATTCTAAATACGCGTTCAAAACCAGCAGCAGAGCCCCAGACTAACAATGCATAAGTCATTGAGGACTGACACAGCGCAAACTATGCTGTGCGTAAAACCGGTGGAGATACGTTCGAGCGCAGGTTTCGCAACAAATAGATGCTGCCACTTAATTTACTACATAATGTTAAAATATGTTCCTCCTAGCAAAGCCCGGAATCAAGATAAAAGCCCAAAAACTTTACAGCAGAAAGAGACTGTATGTTAGGGCACCGTCTCAATGTAAACGTAGCGAAAGCCGTTTTATCTGAATTTAACTTTAGTTTGTTACTAGCAAACCAACGCTCAGCCTCCCTTAGAGAAACAGCTCTACTCTCAAAAGCATCTTCATAACCTTTGTGATTGCTAAATAGGGTTGTGTCAGCGGCATACACAACAACCGACCCATTCGTTATATTCTGAGGGAGATCATTAATATAAATTGAGAGGGCTCAATATTGATCCTTGGGGTACACTTATCGAAATATCCATTCTCTTAGAAAATAAATTATTACATTTAACTCTTTGTGACCTATTTGATAAGTATGATTTAATCAATCTAATACTGTTATTGTCAAAATTATATTTTTCCAACTTATAGAGCAAAAGGTCATGCTGCACACAATCGAATGCCTTACTGAGGTCACAGAAAGCACCCATCATGTAGTGTCCATCCTCATAGGACTGCATAACATTTTCTACAAAATCAACAATTGCACCAACAGTGCTTTTTTCTTTTCTGAAACCAAACTGCGTCGGAGTAAATAATTTATTACTTTCAAAATATTCATAAACTTTATTTTTTTAAGCCTTTTCGTAAATTTTAGAGAAAACGGGTAGAAGAGAAATTGGCCTAAAATTTTCAATCTTATTATGGTCACCCTTTTTATACACAGGTACCACAAGAGCTATCTTGTGAAAAACCGCCTCCATTAGTAGTTGATTTAGTAATTTGCATAGTGGAAGTATAATCAAGTTTTTGATTTGCTTTATTAAGTTAACATTAAAACCGTATATATCCCTAATTGACTTTGATTTAAGGGAATCAATGATATCACGCAACTCAACGAAGGATATTTCCATGAAAGACAAATTACATCCTTCGATGTTTATTTTATTTAAATAATTATCGAATGTTTCAGTAGTTACTTCATTATTTTCAATTGATTCTAAGATTTTATATGGAATATCAACAAAAAAGTTATTTATCTCATCTGGTGGAAAATTTGCATTTACTCTACTACTTTTTTCGACTCTACTCTTATTAATCAACTTCCACATTGCTTTACCAGAGTAACCAGAATCAGCAAGTACCTGATCATTGTAATTAATTTTTGATTGTATAATGCGTTTATTATATATCTGAAGGAGTCTATTTCTTTGCAGCTTTATATTATCATTTTTTGTGACTTCATATACAGTAGTTAATACATTGAAATTTGCACGAATTTCTTTTAATTCTGTATTTAACCATCCCTGCGATAGATGTGCACGCCCCTCGCGAACACGCCTCTCAGGAAAAGATCTATTATAAGCATCCATCACTCTCTCCAAAAATATATCGAATTTTTCAGTGGCTTGCAATCGTGCATCCGAAACAAAACTCCAGTCAACATTAGAAACGCTCTCAAAAAACTTAACTTTACCATTTTGGGTAATTGGCCTAATTGTGACAAAAGCATCGTCAAGCAAAGGTTTAACAAAAGCATACGTCAACGTTAAGCTCTTGTGGTCTGAAAATTGATTGATTACCATTACATTAACATTTGTATTCCCAAAATTTACGAAAATGTTGTCCAAGCAATTTTTACCACGAGTAGCAGCATACACCATCTGCTCGAAACCGAAAGTTCTTAGGCAATCAAGCAGCAATGCAGTACATATGTCATCAGTGCCAAATAATAAAAATATTTTTATTTCAAAATGGATCTCTTGTGAAAAACTACTAATTGAGTCCATTTTTTTTTAAATTTATCACCATTATTAATACACCTCCATGAACATAAACCTCTTTACAAAAAAACGCGCAAGGAATGAAATTTAATAACTTAGCAACGCTTGCTTGTTATGATTTTAACCACGTTTCAGTGAAACATAGAACATCATAGTCCTTATCAATCAAAAACGCCTCCAAAGCATTTATTTTACCACTCAACCCCCGAACATTGGCATATAGCAAATGACAGTCATTCGACTCACCGGGAGCTATGTTGTTTTTACTATCTTGCGCTTTTGATAAAAATTTCGTGATTTTACCTGATCATTATTACAATCAATTACAATATTTGAAGATCTATGACTAGACGCAGAGATATTTTTCATAATTTGAGCTGTATGCTCCAATACTTTGGATTTACCGCGAACATTCATATGTAACCCATGTTTAGTTCTATCTGAGGCATATAAAAGACCATTTACGTCGATAAACGAACAATTAGATCTATCCAGTTTAAGCAAGAAGTCAAAAACTTTACAATTAATTTTATAAATACTATCGTTTACATCAATTTTATTTTCCCAGTAGGGAATCGACAAATACAAAAGATTACATCGATTGTGTATTAGCTTTAGCTTATCATAGACAGCCCGCGAAAAATTTGAATTACCAATTATATCATTTACTCCCGCCATGACCAAAATAAAGTCATCCTTTGTGAAACTTGTCGTAAGCTGATCAACATTTTCCAACACTGAGACAAACCTCGCATTTGGTTTACAAATAGCAAACACTTCATAGGTAGAGTCTAAGAATCTTTCCAAAAATTGACCCGCATTACGACCATGACTATCCGCCAAAACCAATACTCTCTTTTTACTACCCTCAACTTTGGACGTTGCATTTACACTCATTGACCCCTTTGACATACTGTATTCCTTTCTTTCCTCTCAGGCTTTCTCCTTATGGTCTTTTTCAGCAGTAAAAGGAGGCGAAAAACCACACTTTGTCACAGTTGATTTCGCTTGTTCCATCTTTTCCACCAGCTTCTCTCCACAGCACACACAGACCGAAGAAAGTTTACTGTGCACCAATTTACCAAGCTCTTTTAATTCTTCGATCTTTGTTTCTATTTGTTTAAATAACATTGAATACTTCTTCATCATATTTTGCTTCTTTTTTATTTTCTTTTTGCGATTTTTATTATTTGCGCGCTGTTTATTATTTTTGCATCGGTTTCATTATAAGTTTTCGAAAAGTTTTTCGCAAAAAATAAGCTTGAAATGTTGATATTACTCTCTGATCTATTGGCTGAAGCATAGCGGTTGTATTTTTAGGCAGATGTTCAATTTGTTGAGTTTTAATTGTCTAAGAGAAGTAGAATTCTTTGTGCCAAATTGGTTTTCACTTCAAGGGAAAAATTGGTTACTAACCAATCTTGAAAGGGACATCCAAACTTTTTCTGTTAGATATTTTCGGGTAAAATTTGAACAACTGGTAGCCTGATGTATTCTTAATGAGGTGTATATTTTATTTGTGTAGCAGTATAGACTTAATGAGCAGTATAGGATGCGGTTATAACGATTTATACGATTTAGCGGTTTTTGTATGAGCTGCAAACTATTGTATGCCACGACAGCTCCTTCTACATTTTCATCACTTTCTGAATGCAGAAGTGAGGGAAATGTTTTGATCATTGCTGTGTTAAAGTGAAATCAAATAATAATGGTTGAATGAGATGTTTAGAATGTTCAATAGCATCTCCCAATAATATTTTTATTGTTATAGGGTGACGACTGAAAAAAATACGGCTCTATTAAGAAATGCAGAAATTTCACAACAGATGGAGCTAGCGAAACAAGACGTTCGAAGACAAGAGATGGAAGTGAAAGAACTTGTGCGGAAATTAACTCTGTTGGAGGAAGAAAATAAAATTTTAAAAGACCGAGATAATAAAAGTTTAGAGCAAGAGTTACGGGCAACTTTGACCGTTTTAGAAGAGCAGATATCTGATAAAAATAAGGTGAGTTGTTTTCTTGTAAGATTTATTCGTTATTTATAAACTTCTTTGTTTTAATATCAAGTGTTCAACATTCTTACCAAGTGCTAAAGTTGAAATTATTTTATTATTGTAGCTAATTAAAACACTTCAACTTCGATTATCTGATATGAAAAAAACCCTTCAACAAGAACTACGAACTCCGACGAACACAAGTCTAAACAATTTTGACAACAATGCTGCCATTTTAACGCCAAGTCAAACGACGACGACGGCAACAAAACTGTATGGTTCATCGCGTCGGAGCGACGAAGAAGACGTTAATTTTAAGTACTTAAAACACGTAATTATAAAATTTTTAACCAGCCGGGAATATGAAGCTCAACATTTAATTCGAGCGGTGGCGACTTTGTTGAAATTTTCACCTGAAGAAGAAAAGTTACTACACGACACATTGGAATGGAGAATGTCATGGTTTGGTAGTAAACCGAAAGTTGGTAATGGTCCCGTTTTGAAAACGAATCAAACTCGATCTGGTAGCTGACGATTATTGTGATAATAAAAATTATATGATAATAATTTATTAATCATTCGTAATAATTAAGTGTTTTAAAAGCATCTTTTCGTTTAAAAGCTTTTTTTCGCTTTAAATAATTCCTTCTTTTTGTGATACTTGTTGTTTATGTTCGTTGTTTTTCCTCTTAGTTTTTTTTTTTTGAAATTAAGCAGTATCATTCCTAAAAAGTAGTATTCAATATACTGAAGATGTATATAAATATGTATTTGTATATATTATATCTATAAGTAAAACTTAACCTAAATAGATTATTTGTAGATCGATCGATCAAGCTATTATTAAATGTATGTAAATATTATAATAAACTATCGATATTCAAAGATAGCACCAGCTTTATATCACAAAATATTCTCACCTTTGATTTTTATTTTTTGCTAAAAACAATGCAGATTTCTACCATATAGTTCTGCCATCTTCCGCTTGCTTCCCTATTTAATAACCTGATTTGACCAAAGTGATTAAAATCCACTTCAGATAACTTGACCTTGCCTTTTTAATCTCGGATTCCCAAGTTTTCAAAAAGTTATTCTTAGCGTTTAACATTGCGTGTTAGACATTTGATATTGCTTGTTGTTAAATTAATTAAAAAATGATCCTGATAATGTTAACGGTTTGTTTATTAATTACATCCGGTGTATTATTAGTGATATGGTATTACTACCACGTGAAAAACGAAAGGTATTTAAGTCAATTTCCCGGACCGAAACCATTACCTTTGGTTGGAAATGCTTTACCTTTTTCATCAGCAGAAAGTTAGTAACCCTTAAATGTTTGTTTATGTTACGAATTACCTCATTAATTTAATTATTTTTAACACTTTATATTAAGTTATCCACTGTCTCTACTTAACTAAAATATGTGTGTAATCCAATTTATAGTTTTTTATTTAATTTAGGAAAAAATAAGAGGAGAGGAAAGAAGAAATAATATTATGGTTTCCTGAAAATGGCAATATAAGCCGAAACCGGTAGAAATCAAAAAATAAAATAAAAATTTTTTTCATCGTTAAGTACAACATTAGTATCATTTCCATTATCATAACTCGACATATACGATGATAACAAAGAATCTAAACACAACCACTTTTATATTACTTGTTATATACAGGCTGGTCTAATTAACGTGAGATAAGCGATTATCTCGAAAACGGTTCATTTTACATAAAAATGAACCAAATGAAAGTTATAAGGGAAAATAAAACCAAGCTAGATGGCCTTAAACGATAAACCGTAAATATATTTAATTTTATGTGTTACACGTGTTTCGACAATTTTGTCATCTTCGGACACAACTGCGGAGTAAAAATAAAAAGTTAAAACATTTTTTAATAAAAACATACAAAAAAAGGAGAAAATCTATCTATTATTTACCGTCAATTTGTTTGTTTGCACTTCATGTTTTACAGCGAGAGAAAACGGAACTCTGTTACAAATCTGAACTTCTTTCTAACAAAAACGTGCTTCGAAATTTAAGAAAGAAAGAATTTTAATGAAAGTTGTTCTGTGCGAAGGGGGAAACCTTACGATGATAACATTTTTTGACCTTGACCTTATTTTCAAGGTTATATGAAGATCACGGTCAATTTTTTAAAAGGCACCCTATATATTTTATTGTAAAATCTGAAACTGGACAAAAGTAAAGTATAAAAAAATTTCAAAAACAGATAAAAACTTCTAACTTGCTTTATTGTAATATATAAATCGGAACCGGTTTCGGAATCAACGTTCCATCATCAGCCGAAAGCTAATAAGAATTAAAAAAATAATTAAAAACAAAAACTAATATTAAAATAGGACAACAACTTATTCTCAGAGAAACTAATAGGCGAGAAGAGATTTATTTAATGATGACATTTGTTGTTAAAGAAAAATATTTTTTTAAAGTCGAATCGCAAAAATAAAATTTAAGTTGTTATAAAAGTTAAATTAAATTGAACGATGGAAATTAAAATCTTAGTTAAAGTTACAAAAGTGCGAAACGTTGAATGTTATAAAATTGTGAAACACTAAAAATATATACCTATAAATTAATATAAAATGATATGAAAAAGCTTAGAAAAACTTGCATTTAGAGACTGATGGTCATCGAAAATTGGAGAAAAATCACAAACCTATTTAATGCATTCGGTGTTACGAAACAACCATATTGGCAGAAAGAGAAGAAGACACTGTCGTTGGATGACATGCAAAGTGGACGTGTAGTAGGAAATCGGAAAACAAAAAAACTTGAAAAATCTTTAAGCTTTAAATTTTAAGGTTAAAGCCCTTTAGAAATGAAAATAAAGGTTTTTGAAAAAGTTGAAGCTGTTCGTTATGAAGTGTATATTCATTTTCATTTTTAATTTTAGTTATTTCTAAAATTTCCAAAAAATCAAGCTTTGAGCCTTTGTTGCAGGAATATAGGAGTTCGACCTCTTTATAATTTATTTGATGTCCTGTTTCTATGTGTTGTTTAAATATATTAGAGTTAGCCTTAGTTTTGTGTTCTCGAATCTTAGTTTCCAATTTCCTACCCGTTTGACCTTCTCTCTTCTCGCCTATTAGTTTCTCTGACAGTAAGTTGTTGTCCTATTTTAATATTAGTTTTTGCTTTTAATTATTTTTTTAATTCTTGTTAGCTTTCGGCTGATGATGAAACGTTGATTCCGAAACCGGTTCCGATTTATATATTACAATAAAGCAAGTTAGAAGTTTTTATCTGTTTTTGAAATTTTTTTATATTTTTCACTTGCAACGTGGATAATTGGTTAAAAGTAAAGTAATTCAAGAAAAAAATAAAAAAAATTTACTGTGTGGTTTTGCCAGTACAACCGTAAAACATCTTTTGAAAAAAATGTAAACATCTTCAGAAACAATTAACTAACGTCTATAATCTAGCAATAACAAGTAAGATTGATACATTGTTTTTAGTTCTTAATTCTTAGAATACTATTTAAGAATGCTCAACAAAAAAAATCCAAAAGAGGTACATCGCGTGACCGGGCTCGTCGGAAGTACCTTTGGAAAGAGGTCCCGACATTTCTCCGCCTTTGTCAATTTGATAGTAGAATAACGCATAAAAAACTGGTTGAATTGTTTTAAAATATAACAGGTAAAACTAAATTTGCATAAAAACTGCTTGGCAACAAATTCTGAATTCATTCCATCGTTTTACATTAAGGAAAAGTGTTTAAACTAAGTCATTAAATCATGGTTACTCTAAGTGTGGCAGAAAAAGTCGAAATGATTTTTATTTATGGAGAAAGTGGCAGAAAAGTTGCTGATAGTATAGCTTTGTATCGAGAACGTTTTCCTGATCGAAACCTCTCCTTCCCGAGTACCTTTTACAGAATTGTGAACGATTTCACTAACACTGGAAATGTGGAATCAAGAAAGAGAACTCGGCGAGCAACTGTAACTACGGAAGAAAAGGGAATTGCGGTATTAGCTAGCGCTGAGGTAAATCATCAAGTTAATACTCGACGACTTGCAATTGACGCCGGAATATCGAAGACCACCATTTTAAGAATATTAAAGCGCAACAAGTATCACCCATACCACATTTCATTGCATCAGCAGCTTTATTGGGGTGATTTTGAAAATCCATTAATATTTTGTCAATGTGCACAAGAACGAATGCGGTTGGACGTGAATTTCCTTGGTAATGTGCTATTCTCGGATAAGTCTACTTTTACAAACAAAGGACAAGTCAATAGACATAACATGCACTATTGGAGCGTTGAAAAACCGAGATGGTTGCGTGAAGTAGAACATCAACGACTTTGGTCGGTTAATCCCTACTTTATTGATAGTATGCTGAATGGGGAAAAGTACCGACATTTTTTGGATGACGTCTTACCAACGTTACTTGTAGATTTGAGCAGGGAAGAAAGATAAAATATGTGGCTACAAAATGATGGGTGTCCAGCACATTTTTCACATATTGTACGTGAAGCTTTAGATTGGGATTATGATTAAGTAAATGGCAAGCTGCGACATTAAATCTATGGACACTAAAACGGTGCATTATGTAAGTCGGTAGAATAAAAGAAGAAGATAAGAAAAAGGCAGAAGAAGTTCTCAGGAACATACTTCGAGAGCAAATAAATGACGCTTTAGATGATTTTTAAATGTTATAAAGTGATTAATATTACGAATTTCAGTAGGCAGACTATTCCAAAGGGTTATCGCGTGCACAGTAAACGATTTATGCTAAATCTCAGTACTATGCGACGACAATCGTTGAAACATACAGTACAGATACCTTGGTGTTTGATTGTGAAGAACATTATATAACATAGTCAATATACGAAATGATCTACGGTTCTGACAGCTTAATATCTGTAAATAATTACGGTATGGAGTTATGTATTTAGATCTCTCGAGATCAAAGATATACCGTATACAGTTGTTTTGAAGTCTATGCAGTTTGTTTCGCAGTCTTACCGAAAGCTCAGGATATACCGTATCAGCATAATCTATATGGGGGAAAATCAGAGAATAACAAAGATTACGGATTATGGGAGGAAGGAATCAACGGAGACTTTTCAGCGAGTGGAAACCTTTTTGCAGACGGATTGAATTTGAGGTTTCTAGCACATTGTGGTATCTATAACCATCCCAAGGTTTCTAACCGTATCTGACAGCTGAATAATGTCACCCTCAGGCATTTAGTGAATGAGTGAAAAATCATTAAGCTTCGCAAGTAAAGGTCGACTGCCAAACGCAATTGCTTGAGTTTTGACATTATTTAATTTAAGGCTATAACGTTTAAACAAATCCAAAATATTAGAAAGATCATGATTAAGACGTGCAATTGCTTCCTTAAAATCATTAAAATAGTTGTCGTAGTGTAAATTTGGAGGTACATGATAATTACAAGAAATGCAATGGGTGACGGCATTAATAAAAATTTAAAAGAGCAACGGACCCAACACACTACCCTGGACATCTATTCTATTCAAAATCAGCCGAATCTACGTTAAAAAACATATCATATGACAGGTATTCGAATATAAAATAAGTAGAAAAAGTAATATATTTACAACTTACTGTCATAAAGTTTAAAATAAATCACACGACTTCAATAACATTTGGTTGTGAAAGTTTCCTATTAAATAATTTACTTACGTAAACTACAAAAGTGGACAATGTAGTAAAAGAATTAATGTAAGGGAACATAATATGTAATAAAATTATTTTGGAGAAATATATTAAAAACACTTTAAAATGAAAAAAACGGAACAAACGACTCGGCATGGGGCACGAGAACAACTAAGAGACTCAAAAAGCAAAACCGGACACGAGAATTCAAGCAAAAACAGAATATTTTATGTTGTTACAAAA